TCTAAAAATGTCTGCAGCCTGTACTTTTAAGTTTAATCTGCATTATTTACCTTTTCTCCATCTTAAGTCTAAAGTAGGCCTGCACAACATGTGGGCTGCACAGGCACACCAAAGGATATCTAGTGGCCTGCGAAAGATGTTTTCCTCTACATTTTTCATGGGCTATGTGAAATCCCTTGGCATGCCGCAGGTTGTGCGGATCTGCTCTAAAGCTGGTACTGAAAATGTAACAATCAGCTCCTACAAATCAGTATCAAGCTGAATGTAGCACACCCCTGGTCAAACTAGAAAACCCAAGAGGCCTCTTCCAATTCTGTGCCTAATTAATACCATTCTTCATACCTGCCTCATTTTCTCCTTCCTTCTATTATATGATTTTTCTTAGAAATCAACTATTGCTTCAGATAGCCTGCAACTAAAAACATCAGAATTAGCAGGAATACATCTCAGGAAGGAGTATACCCCTTGGACATCTTGTCCAAACTGTGAACTTCTCCCCATGATTAAAGTTGTTCTAGTCCCTGCACTCCCCCCACCCCCGCCCCAAATAGTAGACCAAAGTTAAAGAGATAGCCAATCTAGAGTTATAAATCCAAGGATCATTGTATCTGGAAGAAAATTAGATGGAATTACCTTGGGAAAGGCATGAATGAGTAGTATCCTTGGAGGTTTCCCAATGAAAATCTAGGAGGAAAGTAGGAAAAGCACTATTCTGGGAATCAAGAGCCCTTAGTTCTGGTCCAATTCTGATACTTATTAGTGCATATGAGCATAGAGAAGTCACTTAACCTTTTTGATCTTAATTTCCTTATCTGTAAAGTTGGGGTCAAGAATACCTGTAGGACCCTCTCATAGGATCATTTTGAAATTCAAATAAGATTACATATAAGGTTATTTAAAACTTTAAAGAGGCATATAGATATTAGTTACTATTCTTATTACTGGCAGTAGGAGTAGTAGTATTGCTATTGCGTCTTTATTTGACGTGGAGAGGAAAGCATGCCAGGCTAGCCAAGAACCTACAGCTAATATTAAAATCTGCTCAGTTTGTCAGTCATTCCAAGTTAGCCCATGCTGTTGCAAATCTCTCCAAGGAGGACCAGGATGGCAGTCACTGAATATCATGGTAACGTATGCAGCAAACATTGCTGTGGCTTTACCACGTCCATGAAAACTACCATGGAAAGGGCTCAGTTGGTATATTTCCAGGTCCCACCATGGCCAGCTGCTTCAGGATTATGGGAAGCTTTCTGAACCAGACACTGGACTGAGGGTTTCTGAGGTCACTCATGTGGATACCAGCCCCTCTCAGAAGCTACATCAAAAGGTAGCTCAGGGAATAAAAGGCAGCCTTAGCTGTGTTTATGTCTCTGTCCTTGCCTTGTTTTCCTCATTTCTAAGAGGAATGTGCTCAGGATCTCTTTACTTTAGATCTCTGAGTGGGGAGGGAAAGGAATGGAATAGAATTAAGAGAATATTTGAAGGGTAGTTGCACCTCCCCCACTCTATCCTGGGCAGCTAGGTGGTGCAGTAACTAGAGCGCTAGGCCCAGGGTGAGGAGGACCAATGTTTGTCCTTCATCTTCAAAGAGGACCTGGGACTTCAGGCCGTGATGGGTAATGTCCTAACTTGTGCAAGAGTTTGGATTGAAGTGAGGCAGAGCTGCTCCAAGTCGTCAGTCTCACTGTCTCTTCCAGAGTCATGGAAGTCCAGTGGCAGAATGAAAGTCAAGATGACTAGTCATGGCCTGGGATGCAGTTCTCTATACTACACCCACCACAAAGGCACAACCATTGCTGACTGCCATGATTCCACACAAGTGAAAGCAAAACGGTCCCCCAGGCATAGTCAGAAGAACCATTAGGTGAATCCCACAGGCATTTGGCAAAAGGGAGTTAATAGGAGAGTGTCCCACCTCAGTCAGGTGGCTGGCTTTGCTATCAGCTCTGCTAAAACAGACACCAGCTTTAAAGCTGAAAAGGACATTAGAGTCAGTTAAATCAAGACCCTGAGTTAAAATCTGGCCCTAGACACTTATTCGCTGTGTTACCCTGGGCAAGTCACTTAACCCTGTTTGCCTGAGTTTCTTCAGCTGTAAAATGAGCTAGAGAAGGAAATGACAAACCACTCCAGTATCTTTGCCAAGAAAACCCCAAATGGGTCATGAAGAATCAGATGCAATGAAACAACCGAACATTAATAACAACACTCCATCCTGGTCAGAGATTTGGGTGGAGAGGGGAAGGGGGTGAAAATGGAGATGTCATGGAATAGAGATGGGAATTTGATGATAAGGAAGAGAGATACAGATAGGAATGGGAATAATGATGGTAATTGGATAGGAAGATATGTGTTTGAAAATGGGGTTGGGATAGTGACAGCGATGGGATGGGTTAGGATGGAGATAAGGATATAGATGGGGACAGGATGGCATGGGATAGAGATGCTGTTGTGGATGAGAAGAAGACGGGAGAAGGAGGCTGCTCAGTACGGGAGTGATTACATATGGGGATGGGTATTCCATTGTAATGGGCCAGGATGAAGATGGGGTGGAGGTGGTTGGTGCTCATGCAAATGAGGAGAACAAGAGGTGGAAACTGGTCCTAAAGAGAAGGAACTCAAGGACACCTTAGTGTTTGGACTAGGCGATCTCAAAGGTCCTTTTCGCTTTCCCTTTCTTCAAATCTGTGGTTTAAAGGGATTTCAAGACAGCTTGAATTCAGTCTCCCATTGTTACTTACTGCCAATGTCACCCTGGTCAAATCTATTCTCTTTGGACTGCCTCTGCTATAAAATAAGGAGGTTGGTAGATGATCTCAAATGTCTCTTCTATTTCTAAATTCTATGACATAGGAAGTACCTTGTTCAACAAAGGGGAAGGGAATAAATAGAAGAAAGAAAAAAATAAACATTCTCTCAACCTGAGAAAACCTTCCCATACATAAATTCAAACATCTGAGGAAAAGAGAATAAGAGAAGCTTGCCACCATCTTAAAAGGATGAGAAGAATAATTTCTTGCTGAAACTGAGGCTCCCTGGATATAGAATTACACAAATCATAGAAAATCTGTAAAGTCTTCACCTCCTGAAAATCCCAGCTGCCCACACCTGAGGAAAGGGAAAGAATCCTTCAGGGAAGACATCTCCCTAAAATCATCAAGCATGTGAAGACTAAATGAAGTAATGCAGGCTCCCAAGAGGCTCAGAGTGGGAGAGGATAAGGGAAGTGGGGGCTCCCACCTCTGACAGCTTTAATGCTTATCTGCTTCTAGCAGTCCTTCATGTCTCTGTCCCTGGAGAGGATGCTATGCAGATGCGAGTCATGGTGTGATCCCCTTCTCTTCCATCTCGGGGCTAGCCCACTGGCTTTACCAGCCAACCCTGATTATAGGTGCATAGAATTAGAGTTAGAAGGGACTTAGAAGTTGTCTAGCCCAACCTCTTCATTTTACAGATGAGGAAACTGAGGCACAATGAGTTTAAGTGACTCACCTCAGGCCACCCAGATAGTAAGTAATAGAGTCAAGATTTGAACCCAAGTTTTCTGACTCCAGAGCCAAAGATCTTTCCAATGTGTCTTGCTTCACCGACTCTTAGTGGGGATGTTAAGGCTTAAGGAGCTGAATGTCCTCTTACTCCACCAGTGGCTCCCTCCCACCTAGCAGCTAGGTGGCATAATATGCCAGGCTTTCCAAATACTATCTCATTTGATCATATACAGTTAGTAACGGGCAGGGCTGGGGACTGATTCCAGCTTTGTCTGACTCCTGGATTTCCATTCTGCAGTGCTCCTGCTTGGACCTCCCCAGGGCATCCCATCTCCTTAGAGCTCCAGCCAGACAACTGATTCTAGGATTCAGAGGTTAGTTACCAATGCCTTAAAGTTGCTCTAAACAGATATGCAAAGGCCCAACACCAGCATTATGCACTGAGTACTGTAGCTGCTTGGAAAACATTTGCTGATTGGTGCATTTGGCACTTTCCCCAGGGGTCCCAGTGATAACATTAGACTGTGCTAGGACTCTCTTTGAGGGAGACGTCCCAATGGACTCTGGGTGCTCATGACTTAATTTCAATGGGTTACAAGAGCTTTCTCTGCTGTGAAATCAAGTCCTGGTCCCCAGCTGTGATGCCTGAAGAATCCCAAGTGTGGGTCTTCACCATTCTGTTCATTCAATTCAGGAATTCGAGAAGCTTTTTATGGAGTGTACATACTCCATATGGCCAAACACAGATTTAGGAACTGAAGGTACTGACAAAATGAAAAACACTCATGCCTTCAAGAGGCTTACATTCCATGACAGGGAAACATACAAAGATAAGTAAAAACAAAATGAATACATCCAAGTCAGGGCTAGATATAATAAAATAATATAGAAGCAATGTTCCATAATGGATAAAGTTGGCTTTGGAATCAGGAAGACATGGATTCAAGTGCTGCTTCTGACACAAACTGGCTGTGTGACCCTGGGCAAGTCATTTTTGTCTCACTGACTAGGCAACTCTCTAAGATTATAGTTGAAGAAAAGGTACAGTTCTGCATCTGCAGAGGAAGTGTTTGTAACTGGAAGATCTTTATAACAATGGAATGACAGGCTTAGTTAAAAAACAAAAAAGGATAAAAACCTCAGGGCAGAGAGCCCTATATTATGCTGCCTGAGCTGCTTACCAGATCTCACAGAGGCAGGAAAGAACTTTGGTCCTCAGATATCCACTTGCTCCCAGAATCTTGATGACTTCCAGATTTCTTTGGCAAAACCCACCATCTCCTTCCTTTCTGTCCCCCTGGACATCCCCTGATTCCCAATGGGCATCCAAAGAGTGGAGGCTTGATGCTGGCTGTTTCCACCCAGACTTTCTGCACTGGCAAGGCAAGACATCCTAGCTCATTGCTCTGATCTCCCTTACCCCCAGTCGCCATTCCTTTCCTGTACCCAGCACCATATCCTGATCAGCAACAGTAATGACCATCCACCTCTGAGGTCATCCATGTGACTTACCTGTGGAGTCATGCCATGGCACAAGTACATGATGGGAACATTTTCCGTATCTGGTCCTTGATCCAGACATAAGTCACTCTTCAGAGAATTCTGCAGCTGGGACACAGAGAGAAGAGACATGTAAGTGGGAAAAGAAAAGGGTAAAAAATGAATGAATTAAGCCAAGAAAAGCAGGCATTCCATGGAGATTACTTTCATTTTCCATAATAAAACCATAAGGTCCCCAAATGCTATGGAAACCAGTGAGCCTGGGCATTTGGGAAACAGTTGCTGTTTGAAGGATAAAGTCAAGACTGAAGCTTAGTGGCCAAGACTGCACTACTCTGAAGAAAAGAAAATAGCCTGATGTATGATTCATAAAATCATAGAATTTGGAGCTGGAAATCACAGTAGATGCAATCTGATCTCATCCCCTCATTTTACAGGACGGCAAACTGCAGCCCAGAGAGGGGTGGGGACTTGTGCACATAATACACAGCTAATAAATAGTGTGGATGGGGTTCCAGAGGTTCCAACCCAGATTTTCTGACCCCGAATGCAGGGCTTTTTCCACTATGACACATTACCTCCCTCTCCAGCTTTATAGGCTGTTCTGACACATCCTACAAAGTAAGCCTGGGAGGGGATACTCTCCACTGCCTTTGCCTAGGTGAATATGAAGCCATGGGGCTGTGGTGGAAGAAGAGGCTGCTTGAGGCTCAAAACTGCTTATGAAAATGCTTTCAAGCTCCAGGTATAGATTTAGAGCTGGAAGGTGACCTTAGAAGCCACCTGGTCCAGCACTAAATGGGAAACAAACCCAGTGAAGTGAAATGATTTCTCAAGGTCACATAGGTAGTAAGTGGTGGAATGAAGACTTGAACCCAGGTCCCCTGGCCACAAAATTCATGCTCTTTCCACTCCTCACTTCCTCTACAGCCACACCCTCTGACCCTCCCATTATACTCTCTCTCTCTGTCTCTCTCTCTCTCTCTCTCTCTCTCTCTGTCTCTCTCTCTCTCTCTGTCTCTCTCTGTCTCTCTCTGTCTCTCTCTCTCTCTCTCTCTCAATCAGACTTGCCCAGGGTCACACAGCTAATAAGCGTCTGAGGCCGAATTTGAATTCAAGGCGTCCTGACTCCAGGGCTGGTGCTCTATCCACTGTGCCACCTAGCTGCCCCACCACTTTTATCTCTTAAGGACCCCTAGACCTTGTCGTCTCTTTCATCACTGCACTCTTAGTACTTCCAGGAATTTCCATCTTTGTTGTTCAGTTGTTTTTCAGTTGTGTCTGACTCTTTGTGACCCCAGTTGGGATTTTCTTGGCAGAGATATTGAAAGGGTTTGCCATTTCCTTTCCCAGCTCATTTTATAGGTGAGGAAACTGAGGCAAATAGGGTTAAGTGATTCACCCAGAGTCACACAACTAGTAAATGTCTGAGGCTGGATTTGAACTCAGGTCCTTTTAACTCCAGGGCTGGCACTCTATTGTGCCATCCAACTGCCCCATAGCTTTTGTGTGTTATCTCTCCAATCTGATTATGAGCTCCTTGAGAACAGGACTGGTCTTGCTTTTTCTTTTCACCTCACCAGTGTTTAACATAGTGCTTGGCACATAATAATTGCTCAATAAATGCTTCTTCATTTATTTTCATTCATTCATTCTTACATTTCCTTGGGGCATACAGTCATTCCTGACAAAGACTCCTAAGGTTTAGTTCTCTAGCAAAGTGATTTGCATGTAGTAGGTGCTTAATAAATTCTCAGCAATTGTTGACTGACTGATGCCTTTTTCACTTCCTGCATCCCTCCTGTCCTTCTCTCTTCTTTATCTTTTCATTCTCCCTCCTAAATTTCACTTTGGGGCCACTTGGACTGATCCATTGTTCATGACCTGGGTAAGCACTGAATCCCAGGGAGTAACGATTCCCCTGTCATCTAATACATATAGCACTGGCTTCAGAAAGCGGAGAAGGGGTACCATCCTGCCATCCATTCTGTTGAGCAAAGATAGATTATTCCTCAGGAGACACAAACTACACTGGTCTGTTCCTCTGACCAGAGATGGGAAGGAAGAAAGGGGCAAATTCTCTTATCCTGGGCTTCTTTCCCTCCATAGAGTTACAGCAGCCCCACCTCCAATACACAGAGCAAAGAATATGGAGAACTAATAATAGTAACTCTTTTGGGGGTGGGAGGAGCACACTCATCGAAGAAAAATATCCTCTATCATTAAGCTATTACTTAAGCTGCTCCCCTAATCCTCATTGCATTAATGGGCATGTGTAACAAAACGATTCATAATTATAGAAACACGTAATTTGTCATTAGCTGGGGTTGCTGTCCACCACCCCCGCCCCTCTTAGATAATCTTAATAATAATAATAGCTCACGCTGATGTAGTGCTTTATAGTCATAATTATGTTTGAAGCAACTCTGTGAGGTAGACATTGCATATATTATTCAGTCCGTTTAACAGGGGAGAAAGCTAAAGTCAAGAGGAGTCCAGTGATTTGCCCAAGGTCACACAGCTATAAAGTGTCGACACTGGGGCTTGAACCTAGCTAGGTTTGAAGTCTGGTGCTGTATCTATTGCTCCACACTGTCTCATTCCTTTGCACCACTATCCTTGTGACAAGTTTACTAGTGTCTGTGCCTTCTGCCCTTCACATAGATCTCCAACTTGGAGGAGTCCATTACGCTATAGACAAGGGTGAAATCCATTCTTGACCCCTCATGAGATATGAGGAGATGGCATCAGATTACCAAAAAGAAGACTTAGGGAGAATATGTTAGCCATCCTCCATATTTGAAGGGTGGTCATGGGGAGGAGGGGTTAGGTTTGTTCTTCTTGGCCCCAGAGGTCAGAACTAAGATAATAAGACATTACAGAAAGCTAGAGTTAGTTTCCATGTAAGGAAAAAAATCCCTTCCCAAAAACTGGATTTATCCCAAAGTATGGAATGGGCTGCCTTAGGAGGAAGTGAATTCCCTATGGTTGGTGATTTTTAGGAACAGAGTGGATGAACATCGGTCAGGTCTGTCTAGGGCAGATTCTTCTTCCAGCTCTGAGAGGCTGTACAGAGGGCACTGTCATAGTGGGTCAAGTGTTAGATTTTGAATCAAACAAGATATGCTTCCAAATTCTGTCTCTGAGACTATCTTTCTCTCTCTTTCTCTGTCTCTGTCTCTCTCTCTCTCTCTCTCTCTCTCTCTCTGTCTCTCTCTGTCTCTCTAGTTCACATACCCCAGACTAATAACCCCATTTTAGAGTGATATAGAGGAAATGACTAGTCCAAGGTCATGCAGAATGTTAAGAGCAAAGCTGTAATTCAAAGCTTAGGCTCAGCCTGCCCTCCCCAATCATCAGTGTGGATGCTGAGTCTTGGGCTCTGTCCCTATGAGGTCACCAGTACTGCTGCTCCTGTGTTCCCAGCATTGCCTCAGCCTAGGGTCCAGGTCTGGGACCCCATGCTTCATTGGGCATCTTCGTGGATGAACACAAGTTTGCTTGCAAAGTAGCATAATGAACCCATGATGGAGGTGCTGGTGCTAAGCTGGGGAATTGTAGCTAATGGAAAAGGAAGTGGCAAGGCCGCCTGCTTAGGCCTGTACCCATCTTGTTTATTATCATTGGTCTTGCTTTACCTGGAATGATCAGATTTAAAGCCTGCTTATTCACAGATTTTGTTTGCATTACAGATTGTATGGCCAGACTGGCAGTGTTTGTGCTAGCCATGGGCTTTTTTCATTTTTTAAAATAATTTTTAAATTCAGTTTTAAAATTCATTTTAATTAATTTAATTAAGGAGGCATAATGTTTATTTGTATAAGGGAAATCTAGAGGAAAACAATCTGGGGGTGTCAACTGGAGACCTTGCCCTCAACTGTGGACTGAACTATAGACAACTGGCCTGCAAAGAGCACTGGCCTGGAAAGGGTAAACCCTCGTCTGCCTCTGACCTGATGTGTCATCCTGGGTCAGCCAATCAATGATCATTTATCCATGCTAAGAAAACCTGAGGGAAGGAATTGTTTCATTCTCTTTGTACCCTCAATGCCCAGCACAGTGCCTGGAGCATAGTAGGAGCTTGTTGATCCATTGGTTGATGGATTGCCCATATGTTGACCCTAGATCTTGCTGGGTAGGAAGAAAAAAAGCAAGACAATCCCTTACCTTAAAGAGCATATGTTCTAACAAAGGAGAATCACTTCATGTCTCCAAGTCTTCATTCCTCCATAGTAAAATGATGACAATATTAAACTCCCTAGCTCATAGGTCTGTTGTTCCAGTTAAATGAGGTCACATAGACAAAATAGTTAAGAATTACAAAGGGCCACAGAAGGGTGAGCTGGTCCTGGTGCAATATCAGGACAGGTGCATTGAGTCAAAAAATTTACTTTTTAAAAATTTTTTTTTTAAATTTTACTAATTTATTTTGACTTATCACTAAGCACTTCCATATGCTTTTGAGTTTAAAATTTTTTCTCCCCCTTCCCAAGATGGCGCACAATCTGATATAGGCTCTACATTTACATTCCTATTAAACATATTTTCACATTAGTGAAATTGTAAGTAAAAATTAAAACCAATAGGAGGAACCATCAGAAAGAGGAAACAAAACTCAACAGAACAGAAAAAAAAATCTCCATCCTTTTTTTCCCCCTGTTTATGCTTTTCTTTCTCATTTATCTGCCCCCACTAGTGTTTTGCTTTTGACCACTGTCTCTTTCAGTCTCTCCTCCCTTCTATTATCCCTTTCCCTTTTCTTCCCCTTTACCCTTACTGCTTCTTCCCTCCCTTCTATCCCCCCTCCCTTTTCTTTCACTTTTTCCCTCCTACTGCCCATAGTGCAAGTTGGATTTCTATACCCAACTGATTATGTTATTCCCTTCTTGGGCCAAATTGGATGAGAGTAAGGTTCAAATAATGCTCATGCCCCCCCCCCCCTTCTTTCCCTGTGCTGTAATAGGATTTTCTGTCTTTTCCTGTAATGTAATTTACCCCTGTCTGCCTCCTCCTTTCTTAGTACATTTTCTAAGATCAGACTAATCCACTTACTTGGATCCATTTAACCCACTTGATTAGATTTTTTTTTATCATTACATCAAAGTCAACTAATATCCATCCCCTTTATGTATACTCCTTTAACATGGTGTAATAACAATATAGTTCTCAAGATAAAAAATTTACTTTGAAAGAAAACTTTTCAATGTATGAGCTCTGCTTTCTTTACCTCATGGATTAAAAAAATCACTGTGTCAGTGGACACAAATTAGCCCTTTGAGATATTCTTAAATTCTGGTCCTCCTAGAGTTAATACTAGTGAGAGCTGATATTCACATTATTCCTTTTCCTCACAACCCTTGGAGGCAGTTGCTACATGTATTAATATCCTTAATTTACAGATAAGGAAACTGAATATTAGCAAGGTTAATGACTTGCCTAGGGTCACATAGCCTATAAGTATCAGATGTGGGATTTGAACCCAGGCCTTCCTGACTCCATCTTCAATACCTCTCCTCGGGAGATAGGGAGTTGACTTGTGATTTCTTTGCCATAGAGAACTTCCAGATGCAGACACTCCTTTTCCCACCGTGGATCATCCCCTTCTCTGCAGCTTATAGGTTTAGAGCATTGCCTGGAGGACTGAGAAGTGAAGTGTCTTGGCCCAGCCTTCCTAACTCCAAGGCCAGCTCCCTATCCACTCCCCCATGTTGTCTCTCCACTTTCTTCTACACTGTGGTTATTCTTCTGAATCATATTCCTCTCCTCAACCCTTCACTTCTCTCCAAGTGGCTCTGCTTACTTATTTCCCTAGGATGTTCTTTACCATGACCTAGGACCCTCTTTACCCTGGAAGAGATTGGCCTACTCACTTTGGAAGTCTCCTCCATCCCTTTGACTTCTCCCCTCTGATTGGCTGCTCCTCCCAGAACCTCCACTTGAAGGAGGAGATCTATGCTACCCATGTCTTCATTCCTCTTTCCTGACTCACTGGCTTTTCTTTACCATGTTTCCTCAATGGGTACTTTTTTACTTCACTCCACTTTTCAACTTCCTTTTGTATGTTGTCTTCCCCCATTAGAATGCAAGCTCCTTGAGGGCAGGGACAATCTTTCTTTTTGCTTGCATTTATATTCCCAGCACTTAAGCTTAGCGTTTGGCACATTGCAAGCACTTAGTAAATGCCTATGCTTGCTAACTGATTCTACTTCTTAAAGGCCCATAGAACAACTGAGGCTATGATAACTGTTTTCAAATATTTGAAGTATCATCATATGGAAGATGGATTATATTTTTTCTGTCTGATCTAGGAGGAAGAGCCAGTAGCAAGGGGGTAGAAGTTGCAAAGGGGAAAATTTAATTTGTAAGGGAAAACTTTCTAACAACTAGACATTGTCAAAATGAGAATGGTATGGCTTGGAAAAAAGTGGGTTCCCCCTCATTGGACAATCTTCAAGCAGAGGCTGGGTGGCCATTAATTGGCTGTATCATAGGTAATGGGGATAGATGATGGACTATTGCCAGCTGGAGCCCAGGTTCTCCCAAATGGAACCGTGCTTTCAAATACTCTAGTGTAGTTAGGACTCTGACCCTAGTCCTGTAGGTACAAAAAGACAGTGCTAATATACATGTGTGTGTATTTATGTAAACATGTTATACCCTCTTTATATACATATATATATACACACACACACATACATGCATACATACATACATACTCACTCCCCTGTACAAATATGCACACACATACATATATACATGTATATACACATATGTGTATATGTATGTATGTGGAAAATAAATTATTAGGAATCAGAAGACTAGTCAACAAGTATGTATTAGGAATTTATTGTGTGCTAGGCACTGTGCAAAGCAATAGGGAGATAAAGAAAGCCGAAAAGAAGATTCAAATCTACCTACTACCTAGATGACTTTAGTTGTGCCTTAGCTTCCTCATCTGTAAAATAAGGAGACTTTGGACTAGATATCCTTCCAAAATCCTGTCCAAATTTGCATCCATGATCCCATGAACCTCCTCTTTCTTTTGGAATATCCAAGGGTCTTGACCGCTTTACAGAATTTTGATAGCCCTTGCTTTTAAGGCAAAGGATTTTTTATAAAACATAGAGGTGACAGGGTACAGTTCTATTGTAGCCACCTGGGATAGGAGTGGGGTAGAAAAGAGTCCTCCCCCCTTCTTCCTTTATCAGGGCCTAGGGAACAGGAAAAGGAAGTAGATATGTGGGGGAAACAAAGTCTGGGATTTTCAAATGGGAGATGGTGAGACAGAGACACTGAGAAGAAAATGCCCCTGGGGTGGGTGTGTCAGTGGAGCTTATTTTATGTCTTGCCTTTGCCACTTATGAACAGTATAATTTTGGGCAAGCTAATAAACTTCTGTGAGCTTTGTCTGTAAAATGAAGGGATTAGATTCAGATGGCCTCTGAGACAGAAATATAGCATCCAGTCCTATGATCAGATTAGGGAAGCAGGGGATGGGGATAGTGGGACACTCATATGAACCATTATCTCTACATGAACTCTTCTCCCCACCTAAGTGGGCCCTGGAGGCCTGAGAAAGCTGTACAGTCCAGCTCATCAGGGTTCCCATGTCCTCTTTTCTGGCTGAAATCCCATTTTCTAGAGGGGCCAGTGACGGAGGATATTAAATGCTTCCCATAAGGACTCGGGGAGAATGATCTAAGGACCAGTCTAGCTCCTTGAAATCTCAGATACATAAGGTTCAAAAGAACTGCCATTTTGTAAGTGGAATGGAGACAAACTAGGGGAAGGAGGATCTCTGAGGCTTAAAGTCTAGCTGGGCATTCTGGGCTCCAACTCTGCCCCTGGAGAGAGCAATTTGAAAAGCAGGGGCTGAGATGTTCTTTCCCAGTCCCTTTCCTTCCTCTCTGTCCATGAGAATTCCTCACTAATAGTAAAAACAGATGATGCTTATTTCTACAGCATTTTATTGGCTACAAAGTACTTTACCTCCGTCATCTGATTTGATCCTAGCAACAATGATACTTACTTAGTACATTGTACAGGTTATTATTCCAATGTATTTCATTCAAGAGACGTTTACTGAATGTTCACCGTGTGCAGAGGCTTGTGCTAGGCACTGACGGAGACACAAATTTAAATGAGACATGGTCTCTACTATGGCAGAAATTATATTTCTTATGTATTCGTTATATAATATGCAATATATAATATATTATGTATAATATAGAACATATCAAATATATTATACTTCTTATACATAATTTCATATGTACATATATGAAATTATATTTCTTATATGGGGCTATGCCACATATATAGATAACTAGACTACCATATCGTACACCTTTGAGAGTACCTAGTTTCCTTCAGCCTCAGCATGGGGGCCACCTACTACATGAAGCATTTCCTCAATTGTTACTGCTCTGTTCCTCTTGAAATTATTTCATTTAATTTTGTACAAAATTTTTATTTACTTATCTGGGTACATTTTGTACTTATCCCCTCTGCTCAATAGAGTATAAGTTCCTTGAGGACAGGGTCATTCATTTTTGTCTTTGAATTCCCATTGTTTAGAATAGTACCTTGCACCTACTAGGTGCTCAATTAAAATTGATAGAATACGGGATTGGAATCAGAAAGACCTGGGTTTAAATTCCTCAGCTCTCCCAGATACTTATCAGCTATGATCTTGGGGGAATCACTAAATCTCTTTTGACATCATTTCCATCATCTGTGAAATGAGGGGATTGGACATCCTTTCCAGCTCTAAAGTTAAGCTCTTGGGGCAGCGAGGTGGTGCAGTGGATAGAGCACTGGCCCTGGATTCAGGAGGACCTGAGTTCAAATCTGGCCTCAGACACATAACACTTACTAGCTGTGTGACCCTGGGCAAGTCACTTAACCCCATTACCTAGCCAAAAAAAAAAAGTTAAGATCTTATGATCCTATGACTTGAATAGAATTAGATCTTTCTAACCTCATTTCACAGATGAGGAAACAGGCTTAACTAGAGTTAAGGTTAACTAGAGTCACACAAGTTGAGTAGTTCCAAAGATTAGCCTAGACTAGAATCACACAAGTGGTAAGTGTTTGAGCTGGAACTTCAGCCCAAGTCTTCTGACTCCTTATTAGGAGTCTTTCCACTCTTTCCACCATCCTCATTGCCTCTACCTTTAAAGAAGCATCTAATTATTTCCTTTTTAAGATAAAAAAAAATACACCCAATTATTTCTTAAAGACTTTTGAAAAGGAACAGAGTTCTTACCACGCCATATGCAATGATGTCTGAGTACATCCTCATTTCTGGGTATACACTGACAAGGTACCATCGGAATGTCTTACACTGCAGTTTTTTCCTAAGGGCTTTCCTCGTAGAAATGTCACCAATATCAATTCCGGGATCCTGTACATGCAGAAAGGCAGTCATGATTGAAGAACAGCTTTTCCTGCTCACACATCAGATGTAAGCCCCTATCAGTGGTCTCCTGAGGAATAGTTGTATTGGTCTGAGCTCTTGGCTGCCAAAGAAGGGCTTCAGACAATAACACTCAGCCTCGAGTAATTGTAATTTAAAGCCACTGACTTCCTCTGGTGCCCCTGACCTGCAGCAATTACCTGTATGGTAGCTGAAATTGAAACCTACTTGCGACTTGACAAGTAACAAACTAAATGTTGTCACCCAAACCCTGAGATGTAGGAATTTCCGAAGCATATTTGGAAGGGACATGGAAGTGGGGTCAACATGAATATATGGAGTGAGAGTATTATGCCCTTGTGTCTCTTGTTGTGTTTTGCTGGAGCTCAGAAGTGTAATGAGTTATTGCTTGTGGCTTTCATGTAGCTACAGGGCTGTCATAAAATAGTTATATACATACATATTATATTATGTATTATATATGTGTGCATGTGTATGTATACATGGTAATCCTGGGTGAGGAAATCAACTCTACCAATGCAAGTTGACACTTTCTCTGCAACTTATAATCTTTAGGAGCTGCCAGGAACATGGAAATGTTAATTAACTTATCCAAGGTCAGTACACAGCCAGTAGGTGTGAGAGGAGGGACTTCAATTCATGTCTTCCTGGTTTTGAAGCCAACTCTATAGCCACAATGTAAAACTGGCAAACAAACATACATGTGTATAGATGCATATGTGTATATCATACATATGTGTATATATGTATATACAAATGTATATAATATATGCTTGTGATGCCATTGTATGACACCAGAGAAGTGTTTATGTGTGTATACACATATATGTATACATGTGTCCCGAAAATCTTAGTGCAGTTTTAAGCACTAACAGCTTAAACCTACACTGAGACTTTGGGGTCACATGTATAAATAGCATTATTATTATTAAGAGACAATAGGGCTAAAATGACAGACTGAGGAAAGACTATATAAGTACAGTGCATGAGTTGTTCATAGTGTTTCATCTCTCTAAACTCCCTGCCCCTGTGAAATGAAGTCCTTCACCACCTCCAGCCCTTGGAATCCCCAGCTTCCTTTGAGGCACAGTTCAAGTGGCTCCACCTCCATAAGATCTTTTCTGACTCTACCACTACCACCACCACCATGCCTGCACCATGGCCTCTGTGTTAGTGCTCCCCCACCCTGATACCTGTTTACATTTATTTGCATGCACTAATCACCACACCATGTTGTATTCTCCCTCCTTTCCAGTCAAGTATAAGCTCCTTGAGGAGAAGAATTGTTTCATTTTTGTCTTTGTGTGTTCTACAGTTTGCTGTTTTTCTCCCCTCTTGACCCTAGATTCCAGTGTTAGAGAGAACTCCCTACACTTGTGAATATTAGCAACTGTTCTGCATCTCATTTTTAGAGAAATGCAGAAGGACTTTGTTTTGCAGCTTTCTTATAGATCTATAAAATCACAGCTCTCTCTGCCTTATCAACTTAATAGCCTGGAAGCTCCAAGAAGACATGGACCATACCATATGTAAATGTGCTCTCCACATAGCACTTCCTTATTAAATGTTTTTTGAGTGAATAAATGAATGAATGGGAAGTGGTGGGCTAGAATAGTTAAACTAACAGGCTTGACTTGAAATAAGGAAGTTATTGTTGTTCAGTTATTCAGTCATGTCTAACTCTTTGTGACCCCATTTGGGTTTTTCTTGGCAAAGATATTGGAGTGGTTTGCCATTTCCTTCTCCAGCTCATTTTACAGATGAGGAGACTGAGGCAAACAGGGTTAAATGACTTGCCCAGGTCTTCTTGACTTCAGGCCCAGCACTCTATACACTGTACCACCTCACCTAGATTCCTGAAGACCTGGATTCAAATCCAATCTCTGATACTATGTGATACTGGGCAAGTTACTTAATCTTTTACAGCATCATTTTCCTCATCCATAAAATGATAGGACTGGATTATGTGGCCCTTGAGGTCCCTTTCCAACTCTGAATCAATGAATGTATGAATGAATGAATGAACAAATAAATAATGAATGAATGAATGAATGAATGAATGAATGAATGCATTCCAGAAGGAGAGGCATTTTGGTGTGGTAGAAAAGAGACTAAAGGAGGAATATGGAAAGCTTGGTTCTAGTCTCCATTTGCTACTAACTAGTTTTGTGACCTAAAGAAAGACCTCATAGGAGCCTAGATTTGGGATGGGAAAGATCTTTAGAGGTCAGGCCCCACCCTTTACTTTTTTTTTTTTCAGATAAGGAAACCAAGGCCCAGCAAGGTTAAGTGATTTGTCAAAAGCACTGAAGCATACCTGGGATTTGAACCAAAGACCAGTGATTCCAAATCCAGAACTAACTGGCTTTTGCTTCCTGGATCTCAGTCTGTCCTTTGTAAAAAGAGGGGATTGGTCTCTATTGGTCTTTTGAGTTCTGACATTCTCTAAATTGTGTGACTCAATCCTTTTCATGGGGCCTAGGGAGTTAGATCACTTTCCTAACAGACCCCAAGGATTTTCCAAAGCCTTTAGTAATGAGGCTTTTGTTGTCATTAGATTGACTTTGTTGAAGTCATTAGGCTGGTACAAAAGGTTTCTTTTGCAGGCTGAGGAAACGTCCTAGGGGATGGATTCTGAACTAAAGCTCTATGATTGGACAGCCATCACTAATTTCAAGCCTGGAGTGTGGTGCTGTTTTCCTGAAAAGATTTCCCCTGTCAAGGTTTCACTCTGGCAGCTGATTCATCAGTGTGTCTTGTCCAGAGTCCTGAGCAGGATTTGCCTCATTTTCTCTGGGTAGTGAATTTGAGCTCTTCTCCTAACTGGTGAAGTCTCATCCGATTGGTTAGCACAGAGCTCAAGGATTGCTTCTGGCTAAAATAACTGCTACCTTCCCTATCATCTTCATCTATATCTTGGTTCATGTGACAGCAGTTTGGGGGAGTTTATGAAACAGGAGTTTCCTATGGAAAGCAAAGATCCATAGTCCTCCAGCCAAAATGCAAGACTCTCAAGGAAAGCCATGGCCCCAAATAGGAAGAGCTATATTGGGCAAGCTGGAGATGGGGCTGGAAACCTGCTGCCAAATCGAAAGAGCCTTCCTGTTTCCAAATCAGGAATCTTTATATGAGGTACCAACTAAGGATTTAAGGACACACACAAAATAATGCATTAGCAATATTATTCTTTCTCTAGTTTTTCCTAGAATCTAGTGGATTCAGGCCACATTGCAGAGTGCATAGTATAGGGCCTGGAGTCAAGAAGACTTGTGTTAAAATCCTGCCTCTGGGATTTTTTATAGAACATATCTCACAGGTTTTTAATTTTTTATCAATGAACAAATTTATTTTTTCTCCCTCTTTCCTCTGATACTTACTGGCTGTATGGCCCCTTATTGGCTGTAAGTCATATAACTTTTCTGAGCCTTAGACCTTAGGATTTATCTACTAAGTCATAGATGGGGAATGTTCTGTGTTGGTGGACAGAATTCCCACATGCGAAATTTCCTATCCTGAGATCAGAGATCATTTGTATATTTGTGTTTATGGAGAAGAGAATAGAGGGTAGTGAATGAGTGGATGAATAGATCTCAACAGGGAAGGCATTGTGATATGGTAGATAGGACCAGCTTTTATAAGATTCAGCACTCTCTAAGAAAATGACTGATCTGCATGATGGGTCCCTTTGGAAGAATCTCTTGCCCAGGCAAAGAAGCACATTGTTTACACCTAATGGGGTCTGTTGTAGACACTGCAGTACCAGTATCTGGCAGTGGTAGGTTTTGGAGAGAGCTTTGAACCCAGGTTGTGAGTCTATATCCAAAGGTTTAGGGAGCAAAGATGTGCGAATTCACTGGCAACTGGGAAATTGGGAATTGTCTGAATCTTGGTGGTCCCTCTGTTCTCATAGCTCAAGGAGATCCTTGATTTAATGCTATTTAATGTATAGTCATAGAACACCATAGTGGGGAGGGACCATCCCCACTTAGTCCATTCCCCTCCATTATCAAACAATGAAACTGAAACCAAGAGAGAAAGCCACCAGCTCTGACTGAACAGGATAGCACGGGCTTTTCTCTCCTGCTCCTTCCTTTAAACTTTCAAGATCTTTTCTAGGTGACTGCCAAGGCTGCGAGCTAAGCTCTATAAACCACTTGTTGGTGTCTGCTAGAACCCCAAGCATCCTAGAACCCACTGACCTACCTCTAGGGGTATATTCCACGCCATATAAACGTGGCTCTTAAATTCATCCATCCAGACTTCTGCCACCCTGAGAGCATTTCTGCGGACGTGGGCGGTGAGGTCCTCCGTGTAGGGCTTGTGAGCTCGTTCAATGTGGGCTATTCTGGAGCAGGGCAGGACCTCCACGCTCCCACCACACTGCCACACCTGCAGGGGAGATGATCAGTGCAACTCAATTGAATTCAGCAGACACTGATGGACAGTTTCTTGTGCACAGAGCTCTGGGAGAGATACCGAGTTCAGACCTGGTCCTTGCTCTCATGGAGCAAGTACAGACCAAGTGTTGTGAGAAATACTTTTAAAGAGGGAGAGAACCCACCCAGCTGGAGGGATCAGAATCAGGGAAAAGATCTGGCTGCGGCTTTAGAGAGAAGCTAAGCCTACTGAGAAGGAGAGGGAGGCCCAGAGAGGGGAAGCAACTTGCTCATGAGAGCACACAGCAAGTCAGTGGCACAGCCTGAAGAAGAAGAAAGCTCTCCTCACTCCAAAACCAGGACTCCTTCCCACTGTATAATATCACCTTGTACCAGCAAGCAAATCATGGAGTCATAAGATCATGGGCTAACGGATTCATAGAGAGGAGTTTTCAGGCCATCTATTCAACCTCCTCACTTTACAGATGAGGAAACTGAGGACCAGAGATGTTAAGTGACTCATCAAAAGTCATAGGGTCATATAGAGAGAGTAGAAAGGGACCTCAGAGACCACCAAGTCCAACCCACTCATTTTACAGATGAGAAAACTGAGGCCAAAGGAGTTCACCCTGTAATTCAAATCCAAAACCTCAGACTGTGAACCCACTGGTTTTTCCACTCTAGCATGTCAGTTAGATTTCTTCCTCTGAGCAGCCCAGGCCGGCATCAAGAAGATAGTGATGGCTCTCACTAGATGTGCAAAACATTTTGCATGTTAGCACTTTCTATTTTGCAATTAGTCACCCTCCCAGCCCCCTAGGAAGGCAGGTCACTTCATCTCTTGAGCTCATTATCCCCATAACCAACTAAGAAATGTTTCATTTTTGTTTCCAAAAATTGATTTCAGGCAGGAAATATCCTGGTGAGAGCTAGCAAGATTCCTGATACTAGAGGCAGAAACTATTGGTCCCTGATTCCCTGCAAGCTCAGTGGCTCATTGTACAGCCAGGACCACTTGGCCGGGGTGGTGGGGTGGTGCTTGAGGTTCCCATGCCATGCTCCTACAGAGACCTTAGACATCATCTTGCCCAACCTGTCATGCCATCGAGAAGAAAACAGAAGGCTCAAAATGGGGAGGAACTCCCCCAACTTCCGTTAGTAAATCTCAGGGGAAGGGGCAGGACTAGCCCCCATTTCCATCACCACCCTCTCTGGTGCCTTTACTTGTTCAGATATTTTGAGAGTGATGGTAGCGCAAGTCATTTCTTTTTTCTGAGCCTCAGTTTCCCCATTTATAAAATGGTAATAAATATACTTATCTTCCTCATGAAGTCATAAGATAAATTCTTTGCAAGCTTTGCAGTTCCAGAGAAATGTGAGCAGCTATTATTACCCTTATTTTGTAGATGAGAAATTTGGAGCCTGGAGAAATCAGGTGATTTGTCCAAGGTTAATGGATCAGTCAGATAACAGTTAACAAACATTTATTGAGGGCAGGGACTGTCTTTCATCTCACTTTGAATCCCCAGTATTTAGCACAATATCTGGCACACAGTAGGGTCTTAATAAATATTTATCGATTGATTAAAATTACCTACTATGTGCTAGGCACTGTGAGGATACAAAGGCAAACAATAGTCCCTGCCCGCAAGGAACTTCCAGTCTAAAAGGGGAGCCAACACACAAAACAATCAAATAAACATACCTCCATCTATTATATTGTAGGCACTGAGAATACAAATACAATGGATGACAATCCATATTTACAAAGATGCACCTGAAAGAAGTAAAATGACTTGTCTTCCATTAGATTATAAGCTCAGGGCAGGGATTTTATTTTTTATTCATTTTTTTATGATTTATTTATTTATTTTTAATATCCCTAAGGCTTAGCACAGTGCCTGGAACACCATAGGTGCTTAATAAATGCTTGTGGACTTCACTTGACTTGCCCAAGGTCACTCAGCTAGTTAGTGAGAAAGCTGAGACTTCAGTCAAGATACTCTCAAAAGCCAGGGATCTTTTTATCACTCCACACTGGTTCCTTCTCTTGTGCTGGGATCCTCGCTGCCCATTCACTAGCATCTATGCATGGCGGAGGGGATGGTTTAATGGTCTTGGAGTCAGGAAGAGTTGGACTCTTTTTGATAGGTGAGACAGCAAACACACATATAAGCACATACATAATAAATGTAAAGTGGAGTATGGGACTGATTTTGTGATTTCATTGGAATTCCTAGGGTAGGAAACTCCCTTTACCAATACAGGTTAGCATTTTCTTTTTAATTTAGAATCTTAGAGCATTGTTCAGATTACTTAGAGATTGTAACTGAGCAGTTACAATAGTGAGTTCAGCTAGCAATCACTGGCTGCGAGATGGGGCAGGCCTTCCTGGTTTTCAGAACAGCTACATTTGATATTTACACCACCATGCATAAATCCAAATTAATAGTCATATTGGTAATGAGGAAGTTAGGTGGCACAGTGGGTAGAACCTAGATCTGGAGTCATGAAGATATGAGTTCAACTCTGGCCTCAGATACTTACTAGCTGTGTGACCCTGGGCAAGTCACTTGACCTCTGTTAGCTTCAATTTTCTCATCCTTAAAATGGGGATAATAATAATACCTATTTTCCAGGATAGTTATATTTAGTGAGATAATAATTATAAAGCATTTAGCCTAGTGCCTGGCACATAATAAATACTATATGAACACTAGCTATCATTATTGTTATTAGTAGTAGTAGTAGTAGTAGCAGTAACAGTAGCAGCAGCAGTAGCAGCAGTAGTAGTAGGAGTACTAGGAGTACTAGGAGTAGCAGTGGTGGTGGTGGTGGTGGCGGTGGTGGTGGCTGAGTCAGAAGTTTAACCCCAAATTTTATGACTCCAAAGTTACTCATCATTCCCTATAAGGGAGGGGTATCAACTTCCATAGTAAGTCCTTTTAAATGAACTCTTTGGCAGAATTCATCTTAACTCGACAGGCTGTTATAGTAAAACACGAAGTCTCTAAGGACAGAGACTATCACAATTTTGGAACCAATAAAGACCTAGATTCAAACCCTTTCTCTTACCTACATGGGATGTATGACCTCGGACAAGTTGCTTAACCTCTCAGTGCTCTAGCCAGCTCTAAGCCAGGAAGGTGCAGAAAAGTTACTGATCTGCATTGGCAGCAGGAATTTCCTTACTGGGAGCACCCATAAAATCACAGGTCCACTCCTATTTCTATCACCTCTTCCCAGCAGCAAAGACAATGCTTGGGTTAGAGTAGGAGCTTAGAGCTTACTGATGGATTAGTTTATATGGCACCTTTCTCCCAGGCAGAGTTAAATGATGCCCCATAGTGTCAATGCTTGGTAAGCACTACCGTGTCCAGGGTGGCCTCAGGGACTAATTTCCATTACCTATAAGCAACTTGGACAGTTTTTATTTTCCTCTCACTTTCTCCCACTAATGAAACAGCACCTGCAGGCTCTTAAGACAATATTGTTAATATTAATATGCAAGGGAATTATTTTTTTATTGCAGTAGGAATGGGAAATATTACATAAGACATTTCAATATTGCAAAATTGAACACAAAGCATAACGTAGCTATTTCTCTGAAGAGACATACCTCTAAAATATCCATATTTAAATTCAATTAAATTTGAGAAACATTTATTAACCTTTGTGTAAGATACTATGCTAAGCACTGGAGATCCAAAGATGAAAGGATCTTTGATCTCAAGGAGCTTACATTCAACTGGGGGTGGGGGTGGGAAATGGAATCTGGATGGAGGGAAGTTGAGATAACTCACACTAATCCTAGAATCCTTAGAGTTACTTTCCCACAAAATTTCACCTCCAATATCAATTTAGAACTAAAAGGAATCTTAGAGCCTATCTATTCCATTTTATAGAGGAAAATGAAGGCCTAGGGAGGTGAATTGATTCACCCAAGGAGCATAAGTAGTAATCAACAGTTAGTCAACAAACATTTATTAAGTGCTCACAATGGGTCAGGCACTGTGCTAAATATATACAAACTGGATACACACAAAAAAAGCAAAAAGATGGGCATTCTCCTAAAAGAGCTTATAGGTGGGGTAGTGAGAAGCTAGGGGCAAATAAAATAATGGAGCTCAATGGCAAATCTTGGGTGGGTTCTAGTCTGAAGAAGTATATATAATCTGAACGTGATCTTAGAAGTCACCAGGGAAATACTCAGATGCCTCCCTATGAAACCACTGTATCTTCAAAATCTCAGAGGTGGAAGGGTCTTAGAAGTCATAGAGTCCAACCTCCCAATTACCCAATGAAAAGCCCCTTCTCCAGCCACTGAGAGAGAGTCATTCAGTCTTTGCTTGGATATTTCTAGTGAGAGGAGACTCACTACCTCCAGAGGCAGCCAGCTCCATTTTCCTCCACTTTTTATGCAGCCCTAATTGTTAGGAAGTCCTCCCTTATATGAAACTGACATCTACTTCCTTGTAATCCCCACCCATTGATCCTAATTCTGCTCTCCAGAGACAAGCAGAAAAAGTTTAATCCCTCTCCTACTTGCTTGACAACCCGCCAGATACTTAAAGACAGTATTATGCTCACCTAAGTCTTCTCTCCTCCAGGATAAACATCTCTAATTCCTATAACTGTTCCTTGTATGACATGGTTGTCAGATCCCTTCCCTGACCTATGTAGCCTCTCCCAGACACAGAAGTGAAAACAGTGCTCTAGATGAGGTCTGTACAGGGAAAAGCCCAATAAGACTGGACCTTCCCTGGATCTGGACATTAAAGCAGGTGAAGAGACCCACCTGCCCTTCCCCTGAAGTTCATGAGAATATGGAAAGGAGAGGTTTTGGCAAAGTTGACATCTGCCCATGATCATTTGAAAGGGGTGTGTGTGTGTGTGTGTGTGTGTGTGTAGAGGGGCAATAAGATGAATTCTCCAATTAAAGTGAGGAGTCAACAAAGCTATGAATCTCCGTTTGGACCTTTGATTCTCCACACATCTTTCTGTATTGAGTAT